GCTTGGGTTATCTTTTGGGTTTCTGAAAAACTGGTTTTCCAGAAGACTAGACCTTCAAAGAGCTATTGGGAAGCGCCATGGCCATATTCGGAATCAGCATGGTCGATAACCTATAACCCACTAGATGTCGATCAAAAAGCGATTTATCACCTCGGGAGGTTCCCTCGTGAGACCAACGAAACAGTCTGGTTGTGTAAACCGTTCTGTGCTGATAATGCTTCAGATTTATTGATCGGTTGTTCGACTCTCACACACATATATATGCGTACAGCAGGAAAAAGATCAAAAAGGCAGGAAAAGGACATCAAGCAAGAAAGTGAGAAAAGGAATTTTAAATTTGAAAAGAAAGCATAACTGTATTTGTAGTCAAGAACACTTTTAATAATTCCATTATTGTTGGAAAATAGTACTTCCTGAAAGGTTTTTTCCTATAATTCATTGAATTTGTATAGATTTTTCCATTATAGGGAAGAAAATAATGAGTAATGCGGATATGAGAAAACATTTATTTTTCTGTTAGTATTTGCATTGTGATAATCTGTTAAATTTTATAGAATTCTTTTGAGAATGACTCAGTTTTTAGAAGCTCCTCTAGTAGAATGACCTTTACATATTCTATTAATTATAGAAAAATATCTGCCAGCAAGTGATATTTTCTACCATTATTTTAAAATGTTTTAAACGTAATATTCGTCATCAGGAGTCCGAGTTGTACTGGTCTTGTTACTCTCGTCTGATGAAGTGGTTCTCAATCCCGTGCTATCTGATTTAACAGAAGACAAACGAAGTTCAAGTGTCAGTAAATTACTCAGCGACTTATGAAAATAAATCTGTGAAATAGGATCGTACCTACAATGAGAATTGGCTTATCGATAGGTATTAAAACTGTACATACATACCGCTTGCTTTATATGGCTGTAATAATCTAAATTTAATGCTATATGAACAGTCACTTGTGCCATACATACCGATCAAGATTTTCTCAACCGTACCGGTAACCGAGCCAGTCGGTCGGCCAGTCATGTATTTTTCTGTGTGTAACTGTAAAAGCCTAACGACTGAGGAGTGCTAAGGCTTCTGGAAAAACGTCCATAGCTCCCGAACCATGGATTTCCAAGGTATCTCTTAGATCCACTTTTGTAGAGGACACTTCGGACTATATATGTATGAAAACACATCCATAGATTTCTATGTCAACTTTCAGATAACCGAACTGGTTTTCCACACATCTCCTGAAAAACCGATCTTTGAAATTTTTCCAGACTAGTTTTTGCTTATGAAAACATAGCCTCAGATCTTGGCTAGCGAATGATGAAAATCGCAAGTCTCTATCTTTTATTCCTTTTGAGTTATTCAAAAAATAACCACGGTGTTGTATTTTAGCGCGGAAAATGTCAAGGAAAATACTCACTGTTTGTGGCAACCTCAATCTTCAGACAAAAAGGAAGAAAATAGGAAATGTTGACAACTACTTTTTGATATATTCAGAATAAAATCCAGAAATTACTTGTCATTCAATAGAGCCATGACTGATTTTATTGAATTTCGTTTGCTTTGAAGTATACTAAAGCTGTAGTTCTATCAAACTTCCAATGTAAAAGTTTGTGATCTGTTCAAAAGTCTGAAAAACTTGTGTATTTATGATTTTCTTTACCTTGTGTCTTTCTTATCGATCTGTTTTTCAGTTACGGATGATAGATCGCTCGAAACATAGATATTTTAAGTTTACAGTTCAGTATTTCGACTAGTTCTGAACTCAGGGCGAATATTTAACAATAGCTTACATACAGAACGGTCAACAACATTCTGAGTATGGTATTTTTATTGCATAAAATGTGAGTTCTGGTCGAGAAAATAGAGAATTACAAGCAGAATTCCGATTTTTTTAGCTTCTGATTTAGAAAAAATGTCTTTTCTCAGTAATAAAGCAAAAGAAAAGAAAAACCATTCGTACTTTTAAAGCTCGTTTAATGACGGTTCTAATGAAATAAGAATGTCGGCTTCATTGCTGTTTATAAGGTGAAGTAAGTGCTGAATATAAAAAAAGTATGCAAAATGGCTGCTAGCAACAATATGACAACTACTGCACTGCTAGCATTGAGCCGGATAAATACATAACATTTGCTGTCATAATGCTATCAACAAGTGACTGATTGTGTTCACAAAGTATTGTCTCTTGGAAATTTCCATCAAGCCGTTCATATGCATTAATAGGTCATTTTTCCTTTTCGAGAAAGAATAGCATATATCGACGATCTGTTTGCATTCAAAAAATCAAAAATCTTTTAGAAGAATTTTTTATTCTAGAACTTTTAAAAAATTAAAAATCACTTTTTCTTAATCAGCTTGACGAGCTCTATCGAACCATATATAAACGAAAAGAAAAGAAAATAGTGTTGCAAATTCGAATTATTATGATTCAGATAGAAAAAGTCTTTTCTCGTTTCAGTCAGCCAGAAATATTATTTGGATGCCGAGATACAGCCGATAGACAGTAGACATTCGTTAAGTTTCGGTGTTTCCTTCAGCATGTCATTATAGAGTCGTGTCAACATACATAATTCGTCAATCTCAATGTACCGCAATATTGTGCACAGTTGCTGAGGAACGACTGATAATTGATTTTGATCACACATGATCTGAAGGAAAACTGGAAACAGGTGTTCAAAGAGAAAAATTATTCCAAGTTATCTTTGAATGAAAGTGGATTTAAGATGTATTCCAAAATTATGTGGAACAAAAATGAACACTTGTTCAGTCCCTTTGTTCAACTGTGATATGAAAAATGCTCCTTGTATAGTTCAAGTAAAATAAACTAATTAGAAACAGGGATAGCTCTGATAGAATATGACAGTATGAAATTCGGCCAACGAAGTAGCTATCCCAAACTTTTTTCAATCAGTCTAAAGAGAATTCAGATCATTGCCTTTTCAAACGTATATTATTCATAGATGACTGCAGCTTTAATAGACGCTCATGTATGGAGACCAGAGCCCTGCAGGCTGCCAATATTTGGCAACCTCTAACCTAACCTATAAAAAATTTCACAACCTAATCCTATCCTAACCTATGGATTCGACAACCTAATCCTAACCTAACCATTGAAAAAAAAAATAGAACCTATAACCTAACCTAGCCTATAGCTTTTGCAACCTAATTCTAACCTAACCTATTTTTCCATCCCAAACAACTGGCGTGTTTACTGCTGCGAGACTGAATAGATCGTATCCGATGGCAAGGATTAATCATGAGAAAAAAAACATAATTTAACTTCTTTTTATTTGCTACTATTTATATCCACGTCTCTATTTAAATGTAAGTAAGCTTAATGTACCTAATAATAAAAAATGTTACTATAAAAAGAAAAACTAATAATGATCAGCACATTGGTTAACAACGACAAAACAAAATAAATAAAAGCCAGAAAAAAATGAACGTTTTGAGTAATTCGAACACAACGAGATATTGTAAAAATATTTTATACAGAAAAATAAACTGAAACTGAACTGTTCTGTACATGAGAGTGAATGCAACTGAGTAAGTAAATAAATGTACACATAAAATGAAAGTTGAATAAATAATTTCGAATAATTATTGAATTTTGACCAATAATTGAATAAATAAAAATACAAAAATTGGTCGAAATGAGCAAGTTTTAATTATTAATGTTTGTGGTTTCTGTATTCGTTTTGGTCTGGTTTCTGCTGTAGCCAACTGTTGTTTTTCCTGGTGCTTGATTGCGTTTTTTCAAGTTCTTTTCGTTACTCGCCCGTATAACACTGTCCGGCTTTGGCTTATATTTTGTCATTTATCAACCACTAAACAGGCAAAGATAAATTTATTATTTGTCCAACTTCGTCTTCCATAAGTTTTACCGGTTTCACTGGTATGCAATTGAATTTCATGTTTACCGGACATATATCGCCATCGACCTTCTGTTATACGAACATGTTCACCGTAGAATGCCGTGGAAAATCAATAGTGCCAGTGTCGAATTAGTTGGACTATATTGTGCATGAATATTGATCGACTGATTATCCGGTCTTTTCGGTTCAAATGATCTGATATACACGGGGTAATCGGCGTCAATTTCACATAGTTTATTCACAAAGTTGTATCTGGCAAGACCAACTAGCGACGGATCATTGTCTTCTTCGCATAACTTTAAATAACCTTCTCGTTCTTTACCAGTTGCATTATTTCTACGTTTGGCAATAAAATAATTGCCTTTTTTCAATAATCCAAAATGAATTAATAATTGTTTGGTCACAGTTTTGTCACGATCAGACAAAACATGCGACAACGCTTTTGTTATTTCTGTTTTTGTAAATAAAACTGATAGAAAATACATAATCTTTTTTACATATCGTCCAATGGTATCGGAATATTCTTGTTCTCCAACTGAATTTCGATCTGGATTAATAATTTTTGATAAATCAGTATTGTTAGTTTTATCCATAGCCTCCAAAAGAGAAGATGATGGGTTCCTATTATAAAGAATAAGAATAAGTTAATAATAAGCACCTTTTGTAGCAGTTTTTTGTGCCACTTACTTGCAATTACTGTTTGTAGTTGAACTGTTTCTTCACTATTTACAACCAGGCTTCGTAGCGGCCCTGATTTCCTGATTTTTTTTAAGTCGTCCTGATTTTCCTGATTTTTGTTGCTTTTCGAAACTAGGTCATTTCACTTGAAGATTCCAGTTTAGTCTAGGTAGACGCGTTTCAGAAATTCCATCTTGAATCGATGATGACACTGGTTTTTCAATGACCGCGTTGCTTGTCTTGTTTGTAGAGTAGCTATTGTTCTTTATGAACTAAAA